GGTTATGTTAAGACTGATGATATGATGCTGTCTTGCATGTTTAGTAGTAAATCTAGTATTCAGTACATCTGACTAATGTTTAGATGGGAAGTGATTTTAAAATGTTGCTTAAAATGTGTGTTTCTTAGAGAACAGTTTCATCTTAAATAGCAGTAAATATTTTTGACTTCAAGTACTTTTTTATTCTGTGGTGTTCAGGTGCTGAGAACTGTCTGCAGTGAACTGAGTGTGCCGGACTAATCATGCGTCTTTTTTTCATAAGGGAAATGTGTTTTTTTTTTTTTTTTTGTGAACAGCCAAATAATAATTTTTGCTTTAATTAGGAATATTTTTCCAACATTTGCACATATTTCATGTAATTTTTTTTACTTTTTTTTTTTTTTTCTGACATGATTCTTTAATCATTTAGCTTAGTGAGTCATTTCAGTCAACTTGTCATTACTTAAATCACTGAGGAAGAAACTACCTGTTCTAGGCTTGATGCAGTGTTGTGGTTTGTTTTTTTTTTTTTTTTTGCAGTGACCCAGTCCAATTTGTAACTTATGAAACCTGATTTTATTAAACCATTCACGTATAATGTATGTTTTAAGGCTACATTTACTTTATCTAGTTTAATGCATTTGTATGCATAATTTTACATAATGTAAGGGATCTTTTTAAAACTTTCCTGAGTGGGAGCTGTCATTCACAGAATTATTGTTTGGGCTGAACAAGATCCTTGGAGGAATGAGTAGCTCTGGATTTAACATTGGTCAGGAGTATAAGAAGATCTTGCATTTTGAAATAAAACTGGTATTTTCATGTGACAGAATAAAGGGAAATATTTTGTAATATTATAACTTTCAGAATCTTATGTGTAGGTTTTGATGGAGAAAATCTAAGAGGGAAAGGCTGTCAGAATAGGTTAGGCAGAAGGCTTTTCTTCAGCTCTTCACTGGCAGCGTAACTTCTAGTGAGTTGAAAATTGGAAACACTGGATTGAAATGGTAGAATATTGTGAGGGGAACAGTTTGTAGTCAGAAGTATCCCATGTACTCTTATTTTTGAGTGCCTAATCAGTGATGTTAACTGCTTAAGTAGTCTCTATTTAAAATATAGATGGCTTTGTATAAATGATCTTGTGTGAGGATGGAGGAAGATTACACCAAAATTACTTGGGCTTCCTGTAGAGACCAATGGAATTTTTTTTTAAAAACTGAAAGAAAAAGATACTTTTGAAGAAAGTAATGATTTACACTGAGGCTGAGAAATGTCTTATCCAATTTGTCTACTGTAAAGTCTATAAGGGAGTTGAGTTCATTGAAAACAGATAAATATGAACATTTGCGTGAGTCATATTTTATTTTATATGTAGAACTCGGTTAACTGTTAATATTTCTTAATGCTCAAACTTGAGTTGATGGGGAATTTTTTTATAAGGTATTGTTTTGTTGCTGTGTCCTGTTGCTTTGGTGACTATTCTGTAGCTGAAAGGTGAGTAGTGGTATGTGAATTGTGAAGCTTCTGGCCACTGATACTTGAAGAAAACAGTATGATCTACTTTCTTGATATTTATGTTGGTGTATATCTGGTATGGTCTCCTCTGTCTCTTCTGAACTATCTGTTCAGAACTGTTAATTTCATGGTTTCATAGAGTGCTTAAGAACATACTAATATCTTTTAAAAACCTGAAAATTATCTTGGCAATTTTCTATATGCTTAAGACTACTATCAGTGGAGATGAGGGTGCAAGAACATGGTATGTGATAACGATACAGTGCTTGAGAAATACTGATTGTAGTATTTGAAGAAGGGGGAACCTGTACTGTACTATAAACACAATATATATGCAATTTGAAAACACTGTTAATTTTTTTTGTATATTTGATTTCTACAGCTAACATTAGAAGGAGTTGAAAATGTGAGGAAATAAAATTTTTAATGCTTGCACCTGGAGTGATTAGCAGGCATAGTGCTATTGCTAGTTGTCATCATAGGTTTTTCTGAAAGCAAAATGTTTGGATAAATCAGGCCCTTTAGATTTATTTGTGTTAGTGAGTTGTGAAATATCTTATGAAAGTCATTCAACAGGATTGGAAGTCTTCTGACTTGTAGGAAGAATTGTAAATTGAAAATAGGATATTATTCATTGTTTGCATCCTTTCTTTTTTTGAAAAAGGAGCTTCTCAAATTGTTGTTCATTACTACTCAACTGTTGCCTTAGAGATTTTTTTTTTTTGTCTCCCCTGTAACTGCATGTCATCATTTTTTCTTGTTCTCTTGCAGTTTAAGTTGTTTTTTCCAGGTACCAACTGACTTCGGAGCTTCTTAACAACTTGCCTGTGTATTTCACTAGCAAAAATCCTCTTGCTGCTGAATTTTACCTCCCTCTAATAGATGGTTAGGGGTGGCTTCAGGGAGGGCCTGAAGCAGGCTGTTGCTCAACAGGACAGTGGGTAGTCACATAGTGAGGAAGAGAAGCCCTTAAAAGGCAACCTCATTACCACTGTGTTCAACAGAATCAGCCAGCAGTGATTCAGCTGCTCTATCAGAACTGTCTGCTGATATTCTTTTCTTTGTTTCAAATAAATGATGTGGGATAGTCAGTCAGATTTACCTGTACTCTTTTTTCATACTTGCATAGTAAAAATCTGTTGGTTCACAATTTTTGTGGGGTTGGACTGTATCTGGACTCCTTTGAGTAAAAGCTGTGGTAAATTAAGTAGAAGTTTTTATATTTAATATGTCAAGCATTTAATCACTTTCATGATATACACTGTCAGTTAACGCTGAGTATCTCTTGATAGGGGATTTACTTTAACTGTTTTAAATTTGTGTTAGCTGTATAATTCATGTCCCCATTACGAAAACACACAAGAATGCCACAAATTGTAAGCATAAAACAATAGGAATAATATTTCTTTGAAGTACATAGATCAGATAGAGATTCGAAGTTCATGGGTCTGAAGTCTACACCAGAAATGTTTTTATATAGTAGAAATTCATTGCTAAAGCTGCAAAATGATAATTAACTTTATTGTAAACATTAGCAAGAGACTTAAATACAAAACAAAATGAAATATGGGTATCAGTCCTACCCTTCCTTCCTCTTCTCTTATACTGACTGTTAACTAAAGACTTGTACAATTTAAAGCTGAGAAAAAACAGTAGTTTATTGGGTTGAAGTGTAGTGTGTATTATGTAGTTTGCCCTCTGTCTTTCTCAGGAAAAAAAACCTGCTTATTTCTAGGAAGCAGTAATTTTGTAGCTCTGTACTTGAAAGTTCTCATGTAATTGCCTTTGTATTTGGCTCTGCGTTGTATGACACATTTCAAATTACAAGTAAGCAAAAAAACCCTTGCAGCTTGCAAAGGCATCGCTCCTGATTTGATACTGCAAGAGTTGGAAGCCTCCCAAATTAGATTACATGCAGTAATTCAAAATGCTGTGCATTTGTAGCTGTTTATAGTTTTTAAAACTACGAAGAAGCAAAGTTTTTATTCATAAGGAGACATCTGGGCATGCATTTATGGCATGCCTGGTCTGATTCACAGAAACCTTAGCCATGATACCTACTATGCTGGGTGAGGGATTGATAGGATGGAATATGCTGCTTTGTTTCTCAGAGCTGAGGTTTAGTAGTAGGCTCTTATCAACAAGATTGTATGCTCATTTTGCAACTACATACATTGATCCAAATTGAACAGATGATGATATATTAAAATGTTGATTAACGTTACTCTGAAAGATGTGACAAAATAGTTGCATGTTCTTCTATAACAGAAATGTAATGTGGGTTCTAGAGTCAGAAGAAATCTTGCTCATCAACCAGTCTTTTGTAGCAGGGCCTGGAAACCTGGCTTTATCTTTTAGTTACAAGGCCTTATTTTCTTCATGACCACTCAAAGTCTTATCCCTTTCAAAATTGTCATTTTATATTAAAAATGCTATCATGAATGCATTTTGAAATCACAAATATTCAGTTAAAAATGGCTTTTAACATGCTGGCTTAATCGCTTAAGATAATAAAGTTATTTACAGAGTGTCTAAACTTGTAAATCCTAAGAGGAATGATGTTCAGAATCAGGTAAATTTTTTGTATTTATTCTCAAGATGCATGTATATTCACTTGAGGGCAGAATATATTTTAATGTTTCTTCCAGAACATTCATGAGAATGTATTTCTTTGGTGTAAGTTTATTGTTTTTCATGAACTGTGAATTTCCTTCTTCGTCTTTTTGATATGAATTGTGATACCAGCATCTCTTGCAATCTGTGATAGGTGAACTTTTTCTCGAAGTAATGATTTTTGCATGTTGTTTCACAGCAGGACATGGTCCATGATCAGTAGTGTCAGAACTTCTTAGATGTTGGATGGCTGAGCATCAATTGAATCAGAATCAATTTCACTTATTTCTCTGTTTAGTTTAAATGCATGTTATACTGTTTACGTTAATACTACATTTCTGTATTAGTTTCTGAACTGAGGCAAAAAAGTTGTACCATCGCTTAGTTAAGTCAAAACTATTTGAGCAAAGTAGGATTGGCAGGTTGAATTTGCTTACCATAATGTAACACATCAGACCTTGGTTTCCACTAAAGCAGTTGGTTTAAGCTGTAAAGACAGATTTAATTGTATTATTGAACAGTGGCCTTTAGGCAACAATGTAATGGGACCTTCGTTGGCAGTTTGTATCGCTACTTAATGAGGAACATCAACTGAAGTTGGAGTCATTTGCAGTTGATTATTTAACTTTTTGGGAGCTGAAGATTGCATTTAATAAGAGAAACTTGTTTTATAAGACTAAAGGTTAAATATCACAATTATTCTGTATTGTGAAGTTGAATTTCTACATTTGATTTTATACAAGTAGAGGAATATATTTAACTTTATCCCATGTACATTTTCATAATTAATGGAAACCGTAAAACCGTGACATTTTTCATTTTTATTGAATAAATGGGAATGTTTTCAATTCTAATAATGATAGGTTGATCATGAAAATTATGTTTACTTACAGAGAGAACAGGAAATGAGAATGGGTGATATGGGTCCTCGTGGAGCAATTAACATGGGAGGTAGGGATCTGAAGGAAAAAGGCTTCTGTAATGTAAAATCTTTTTCTTTGGGACTGTACATGTTACTCAAGTGTAATTCATTAGGGGCAACTACTGGTAAAATGGAGTAAACAGTATTGGGAAATAGGAAACAAAAAATTGATTTCCTTACAAACAGCTTTTTTATTTCCAGTTGATGTGTTTTAAATACCCCTGGGACAAAAAAGCTGTGTGCAAGGTGAGAGAAACTAAGAGGCAAGGAAAGATAATACTCTAGAAATTATGCAATGCAAGACAGGAATTGTCTGTTTCAAAAGTGTTCGGTGCTCTTCTAGAGGGATGAGAACAATTGGAACTGTAACTGCGCAGTGAAATGATGCAGTACTTCAAGTAGGTCAGTTCTTGACAAAAGTTTAATAATTGTGCCCTGTAAATTTATTGCGAATCTGTATTTGCAAGTAATTCTCCCTATGCTTTTGTGGCTTAAACTATTGTCACTGCTAAAAGCTTTGAAATTTACAAGAGTACTGGCTTAAGAATGAGTATTTGCCTTTGTACGCTCAGACTTGAAACAGCTTGGAATATTACTCAACTGGAATATCTGCTTTTAAACAAGACTGAAATATAGAATATTAATTTTAAAATATCTTTAGGAAGCTTCTTGACTAATATTAACTTAAAAACACTGAAGTAATCATTTTTCCTGTATTTCTATATTAAATTTGAATGCGTGTACAAAACTTAGGAAATGATGTGGTTTAACTCAGAGTAATGTGAATTGGTTAATAGCCGAATGTACTTGCTCAGTCTCCATTTTAAAATACATTATTCACCACTTGCATTCACTGAAACATTTATAACTGCAAAATGGAAGCTGGCTTATTCATTTGCAGATGAATTTTAGAATTAATTCCAAAGGAAGACAATGTCAAGATCAGGTTTCTTTGAAGTAGTAACCTGGAGCATAAACTGATGACTTTCTAATTTTGTAGTTAAAATTTTGCTTATTGGTTTAGCGGATTCTTGAAAATCTCAAAGAGGCATTCTGAATATTGATATTGTGCATCTTGCCCACCAGCATTAGCAGTTTCCACAAGATATACTTGTAGAAAGGAAAAAAAAAATTCTAGAAATAAGTGTGTGGTTTCAAAATAAGCTATTGTAACAGCTAACCCCAATTTTAGAAAGGGAAAAGTATTCTGAATAGGTAAAAACAGTGCTTCTCTCCACAGTATCTGAATTTTAGGTTAACTCCTGGTAGAGGGTTTTTTTTTTCCCTGGCCATGAACAACATTACCACCACTCAAAAAAATAACCCAAAAATCCCAGGAACCTCCATAAAATTACCAAGAAAGGGGGGAAAAAAACAAAACAAAACAAACCAGAATTTAAACCTTTAAATAGTAGACCTTTAATTACTGATGCTAGCATACTTTCTCACAACATTTCTACTGGAATTGTAATTTTAAAATGGTTTTTACATGTGCCACTTGTGACTTTTCATGATGTGGGGAGCTGAAGTATCTTCAGTAATGGGAAACCTATATGACAGCAGTATTTGAAAGCAAGACACCTCTGAGATGGATTTAACTAGTGATAGACTGACATTTGCTAACCAGTCATTTTTATATTATCTTTAGCCAGTCTGAGAGACTCCATAATACCATATCATAGCACTTAGCTGTAACTGTGATGCTACAGGTAGCTAATAAATATTCATCTAAGCTGGGAAAAACTGATTTCAGGAACTACCTCTGGATTGATGAGAGTTATTGATTTATTGCCTACTGTGCCAGACCTTGGCATGTACATTTTGGACACATAAAATACATTTTTTCAGCCGTGCTCAGAGATGTGCATTAGTCTCTGCTGTGGCATGAGCTCGATAGACTGCTTTCTGTCTGTTTCTATACTGCGTCCAGCGAATAAACTGCCAACATTAATGTGCCTCTGAAAAGAATTAGCAGTTAAGCGATTGGCTCTTAAGATTTGTTAGAGAGCTTTTCTGAGGTATAGAGAAGAAGCTTTTGTGGCCTCTTACGCTCCCCAGCTACCTTCCTTCTATCATAGCTGGCTGAAATTGGCTTAGTAGTACAGAGAGACTTCCTAGCATGGGTTATTTTAGAAGAAGCGTGCATGCATTTGTATGGTAAAGAATCATAGCATCATAAGGTTGGAAAAGACCAGTAAGATTATCTATTCCAACTTCCAGCCAATCACCCATGCTCACTAAACCATGTCCCTCAGTGCCGCATCTACATGGTTCTTCAAAATCTGGGGGACAGTGGCTATGTAGGGTAAGAATTCATTGCTGTTGAAGAATGACTGAACAATATCTGCATGTGTGGCAGTCTGGCTAAGCTTAATGAGCATACTGGTAAACAGGCTTTAACAGGTCATTGAGCATTGACTGGTTTGAGTTGTGCTGAGCAGTGCCATCATTACAGTTATATAGGATATGATTAGCCTTTAAAAATAGAGGTTTGTCCTTATTTTGTCAATTTAAATTCCTCCTTTTCCTTCTACATTTAATTCTTGAATGATTGACATTGAAGAACAGTTTCATGAGATTTTCTGCTATAATTTTTTCTTGGATTATAGCACAATCTTTTACTTGCAAAATGATAAGTTCGTGGGTTGATAAGAAGTATCCAAATTATACATGCCTTTATTTTGGCTTCATGCTGTAGGGAGAAGTCTTGGAGTGTCAGCACCAAGTTTAGGAAAGTACTGCTTTTAAAATTACAAGGTTTTTCTCTCTAGCTTTTGATAACCTTCATATGCACTGCTGCATTGCTTAGATTGTTCTTCCTACGCAGCTTGCAGTTGCCTAAGTCTTAAGTTTTAGCAACAATATCTTAATGTGGTGATTTCTCTGACTGCTGAGATGAGATGGGTGCTCAATACTGATAATAAATATGCAATTTTAATACATGCAGAAAATCAGAGTACTATATTTGCACTGAATGAACTGTGTATAATGATGAACGTGTATATTACTAAAATTATGAGGTGAGAGATTGGTATGTTGGAATAAAAATGATGTATTTTAGTCTGGCAACATGTCTTAATTTCTTGACAGGTTTTTTTTTTCACCTTGTGTATTGCCAGGACTTGAAACATGCTAGATTCCAAAGACGTGTTTTCTTTCTTTGTGAAATTTTGAATGCAGGCTTCTGGTTGAATAGTGTGTGTTATTGTGGGGGGGAAGAAGTTGCATCACCATGAGTCTTAGAGTTGATGACATGTCGTAATAGCAGATATAAATGATTTATATAATCTGATCTTTCTTATAGCAAAAGCTGATGCTGGCAGAGTGGTGTCTTGTAACTCAATATTATAGCTAAATAATCTCTTTGAAAGAAGTTCTTAAGCAATGTGAATCACAGTTTTGGAGAAGTTTTCATCTATAACTTTTAACACCAAGAAATTTTTTTTGTATTTTTACTATATTTCTTCATGTTTTGTTGCTGATAACTCATTATAAAGTTGAGTATCGTCATTGCTATTGTTATTATATGATGTTACAGTATGTTATTTTAACAGCTACCAGTAACATTAGTGCAACATTAATGCTGACAGAACAGTTTTTGCGAATCTGTATTTAATACAGTAATCCTTGAAGAGCCAAGTTGCCTATTGGTGTCAATTACTGCACTTGGGATTTTTTTCTAAATGTAGAGTGCACGGTGCATATATATGCTATGTGAACACTTCATGTTCTGCATGGAAACAGTACAGCTATATTTAGCTGCAAAGTTTAGGCTTCTCAGCCACAGAAGGCAGATGATGTAATACAAAATTAATCTGTTTAAAAGCAGATGATTGAGATAAATGTACAGTCCCAAAGAATACATATTTTTTTATATTTCATGTATTGGAAGTCTGGTACATGTGGGTTTTAAAATATTATAAATTGTTTGTTTATTTTGTAAAATTCAGATAGGACAGCTCTAAGTGTAGATTGTTTTGCATAGATGCGTTTAGCCCAGCACCTGCTGGTAACCAAGGCCCTCCTCCAATGATGGGTATGAATATGAACAACAGAGGAACTTTGCCTGGCCCTGCAATGGGTCCTGGTCCTTCCATGGGACCAGAAGGAGCTGCAAATATGGGAACACCAATGATGCCAGATAATGGAACAGTGGTAATGTATCACAAATTTAATTACTTTAAATAGCTGTCATGTCTCATGACACGTTTTTATTACCAAAGATATTTTCACACTGAATAAGACCACGTTAAAAGTTTTGACTTTGTTAAAAATAACTGATAGACTTGTTCACTGAAATACATTGCAGAAGGAAAATATTTAGTATTAAAATAGAATTAGGAAAATTCCTGTTTCTTCAGGTGAGGAGGAAATTTTTTGATCAGTAAGCAGTAAAATCGAGGTTAGATTGCACAGTATTTGTGGTAAAACTTAGTGTGTATAACCTGCCCTCAAAAAGCGTGATAAAGGGAAATTAGATGTGAAGAAGCATCTGTGTACCTGAGTAATCTGTAAAATTAGGCTTCTGCTGTTTTGTTTTTTTTTCTTTTATAAAACAAGATTGCATTACCGGCTTTTTTTAAAAAAAATAAATAAATACTGGAAACTGTGTATAGTGTGAAGATATCTTTGTGTAAACTACTCAATTTTTTAATGTGACCGTAGTATTTTCTACTTTCTTCCTAGTGGTGTTGAAAGCATAAGTTTGACAGTAATCACTTGGAAAATAAGTATGCCAACAGCTGCTAGGCATAACTGTCAGGTCAGTGCAGGAAAGTAGAATTGACCAGTTGCTGAAGATGCTATGAGTGTAGGACAGGCATCTGGATTTCTTTTATCAAGAGCAGATATGCCATTGGGCTGCAATTAGAGCACTAGCTATTTTTGCTCTGGTCTTATAGCCAGTCATTTTTCCTAGCTGTAATGTCTTATGTAGAGAAACAACCGTGTCATTTTAGATCTCACATTTAAGCATTTTTCTGTAAATGGAGACTTGAGGTGTTCTAGCGGTGGTGTGTTATAAAGAAGTATGAAGTACAGCAGTGATTCCATTATAATTTCATTGGAACACTGAAGCATTTGGTGGCTGTACTTTATGTATGCCTTCTAAACGGTATCAGTCTGTGACTGAGGTATCCATATAATGAAGTTGTGACAAAATCCTTTGTTCCTTAAGGGAAAATGATATTTTGAGTACAAAATGTATGATAAGTCTGTTCTTTCCCAGTGAGAGGAGTTGGTTGTGCTTCATATCATATGATGGACTCATTTTATCAGTTCCATAACTTCTCACAGGGATGGGGGACAGGTCGCACTCTTCAAAGAATACTATTGGCAGAGATGCTTTTACTGGAAACTCCTGTGTTACTGACCAGTCACCTCTGGAACATTATTTTGTGGTTATATAGATGCTGAAAAGGTGTGAGGGGAAAAAAACTGGAGTTACGAATCATGTTATCTATCTGAAATTGTTGTTTTTCTACAAGGTCATTCCAGTTATGAAAATGAAGGGAAGGGCATTTATAGGCTTTACAAAATACAAACTAAATATGAAGCAGTTAGTTTTCATTTTCTTCTATGTGTTACTGAAGGACAATGAGATGCCCTTTCATTTTGGACTTTAAGGGCTTTTAGTCTGGGTGACAGATGCCTGCAGCAGGGTATGTCCTTCTTCTGTTGGCATTGGAAAGACGCTTCAGAGATTGTCTGAGCTCTGTCCCCTGAGGTGCTGTGAGAGTTGTTTTCCGTTTCTCTGGAGAGAAACAGAGAATACGATTTATAGACCAGAAGTGTAATTTTCATTTTTAAATCTGACTTTGAATTTTGTTAAGTAGAATTTTTTTCTTGTTGTTCTACTGCCATCCTTTAAAATGTCTTTGAACATAATGATTATAAATAGCTTTTTCCCTTATACTTTATTGTAGGTAGGTAATTAGTGTAGTTTTCTCTTTAGCTGGTTTGAGTTCTCCTTGTTAGAAAGAGTTGTTTTTGTCCAACAATGAAATGGTAAATATGACCATGAGTATGTGATAAGAATATGTTGAATTTCATAACTGTTGCTACCAAGCTATATTCATTTAAGATACTTTTCTAAACAAATTCCAAATAGTGCTGTAGATTTTAGGCTAATTTGGGACATTAGCAGATCTTTATGCAGCTATTGAAATAATTTTTGATGAGCTTTTAAGTAATGCATATATATATATATATGCACAACCATGATCTAAGTTAAGTAAAATTTCTTTAATATAGATACCAATCTGTGTTTATCATTTAAGTGCCTTTGGAACTCTTGAGCCCTACTGTTACTACTGGAGTTAGACTTTCGGAAGAATTATTCTGTTTCAGGCACATAAATAAAGTGGTAGTTATTAAAGCTCTTTTTGAACTCTCATTCCCCGGGCTGTTGTATGGCTCTCTGTTCAGAGGAATTTCTTCTGAAAGTGTAACTGTCCTCAGTGGCTGAAGAGTTATTTCAAAATCTGTTTGTTCCATACATCTATGCATTTAATGGTTTGTCTTATGCTGAGGTAATGTTTTATACTTCATTATGTAGAATTCTGTTTTTAAACACTTAAATGGTGAACTATAAGTATTCAGATGCATGTTTTCTGTTTCAAGCCTTTATTGCTGTAGCCGAATAAACCTAAGTACGTGTATCTTTATTAATGTTGGATAAGGAGCTAAGGTACACATGGAACATTAACTGGATTTTCATCTTTTATTCATATTTCAGATGATACTTTATTTTTGAATGAAGCATAGTCTATGCATTTTATAACTAGTGTATTTGATTTGGGCTTTGAAAGTCCATTTAAAGATTACTAAGGTTCATTATGAAAGGCTAACTCCAGGTCATGTGGACTGAAACTACAAATAGGTGGATATGTAAGTTCTAAGATTGTTTCACTATTAGAAGAATGAAACTGTAGTCTCTAGAAATAATAATAAAAAAAAAAAGTTGAACTTTTTCTAGTTTAACAATGTTTATGTGCTTAACTTCTTTGATAGAGAAGTACTGTGATTAGTGTATAAGGCAAAAGAAGACTAGGGTATAAAATTACTGTTCACTCTCTTCTGTTACATGGAATATATTACTGCTTTGTGTTGAGCACCGGAGTTGGTCTTAATTAAAAACTTAAGAATTTACAAAGTCAGAGCATAACATTAGCAGTCTCTGATTTCCACATCCTTTTTGATAATAACTAATTGAATTGCTCCTTTCTTCCCTCTATGTGTGATCCTGATTCTGCTGGACTATCTGCTGAACTTCCTGACAACATCACTTGTGTAACTCACATCACTTTTGTTTAACTTACATTTGGCATGTTCCAAATGGACTTGTTCTAGCATAATGAGAGATTCCCTCAAGGAGGTCCATCACAGATGGGCTCACCTCTGGTTAGTAGAACGGGCTCCGAAACTCCTCAGCCGCCCATGAGTGGTGTAGGTACCGTGAGTGGTGGACCTGGTGGCTTTGGTAGAGGAAACCCAGGGGGCAACTTTGAAGGACCTAACAAGCGTCGCAGATACTAAAACTTACTTCATTCCTTGCTGTTAAGAAATTCCAGTAAACATATACAGTGATATGCCTTTATAATTTTAGCTGTTATCTGGAAACGGTTTTATTGTTACTGTAGTCTTTAAAACAGTTTCTTTTGTAAAACTTTTTTGTATTCAGTCATAGGCTTTGTAGTATAGAGCAGAAATTATGCAGATCATTATGTAAGGCAATGTGTTTGTGACTAGCAAAATACAGTGTGTGACTATGCTGTAAAACATGCGGTTATCTGATGACAATAAAATATAAAATTCACTTGAAAGGATTTTGGGAATGTTATTACAATACTGAGTGAGAATAATTTTATGCTTGGTTATAAGTGGCATCATTTTCATTCTTCGTATGCAGTTTCTACTTGTGTGTCGAAAATTCCGTTCTTAGTGAATCTGTTCAGCTTGAAGTGCATGTAGCAGTACATACTATGAACAATTTACATTGCAACTGCTTAAGTTTGCTTCAACTTCTGAAGAGCGTAAAGTTTTATACAAATTGTTCTTATGAGGATACTGTGTCTTTTTATCTCAGCTTCCCTCTGCAAACTTAGTCTGACAGTGTCTGTCCTTTCAATCGCTGGAAAAATTTGAGAGAAAAATAACCTCTGGAAAAGAAACCTGTATGTTTACTTTGTTCACGATGGAATGAATGAATTTATCTAAGAAACATTGTTGTGATGTGTTCTAATGATTGTTAAAGTATCTTGGCATTGCAAGGGAAGGAAGCATTTGTGCAAGCTTGTTTAAAGCCTTCTGATGTATGATGTATCACTGTAGGTATACATGAGTACGTACTTCTCCCAGTGGTTGACATGAAACAAATCTGTTATAACGATTAACTGTTAATTCAAAGACAAGTGTTCTCTGCTGAAATGATTGTTCACTCATAGGTAGACCATTCATATGCTTCTAGAAGGACTGCACATTAGTATATGATTCTTGACGTGGTTTTACTGAACAATGAATTTGGAAAACACTCATTTTCAACGTTTCAGGCTAGCTTTGCTGATTAGGTCTTAAGATGGAACTAATGATAAAACTGCTAGGAAGCTTATATTCAAACTTCATCAGTTGGGGAAGGTGATGGAAAAGGCCTATTGGTTCTATTCCCATACTGGCAAGAAAGCTGGGATGTTTTTTGGTTATACTGCTTTTTTTTCCTGTGAAAGTATTAGTGTTCTGTTTTTATCTGTTCGCTTCATGTTTTCACAAGTAGAAAAGATGAATATTATTTGCATGAGTAGTGGTATTAAATTGATTCAAAACTAATTTGAGGTAATGTTGTTCCCTGATTATATAAGGACAGTATGTATGTAGCTCAAAGCATGAGATGCAAGCAGCAGAGAGCATGCATGTATTATGTTCTAATGTAGCAGTGATGGTCTTGATAAACTGTGAATAAATAGTAATGGGAAAGATGCATTACTGACATCTTGGAAGCACACTGTTTAAATTGTCGATGTTGTATGGCCAAAGATAGAGATTGTTTTCATGGAATTTAAATATTACCATATACGTTAGATACTCACTTGTGGCATTACTAAGCATTTTCCTCTCAATCATGTCTAATGATGTATTTTTTTCTGCTCTCATTTAGATGCATGCCACATCTTTATAGTTTGTATTGCAATAGTAAGATAGATTCAAATTCTGAACTACTGCTCCCTCCTTGATACATGTATCATATTATAGTGCTCATTCTTTACAAACAAACGAAAACCTTATAACCAGTTTTACTAAGTATACTGTTCCTAAAACTGAACATTTGGGAAAACTGCTATTCATTAGGTGTGCACAAGTATTGGTAGCAAATGCTTAAGCTTTCTGCTTTCATGTTCTGCATTCAGTTGAAAATACAGTTTACTAGTGTGTGTAAGTATTAGATTACTTACATCCTATCTCATTAGGCCTTGTTTTGAACATGATGTTTTTAATGGGGGTTGAGAAAGATAGTATTGGTCTGAGTTACTTGGTAATTCTAAACTGCAAAAACCCTAAAAGGGAGCTTGGCTTAAATAAGGTAACCTGTACCATGTTTATGAGTTTTGTTCTGGTTTTGTTTTTGTTTTTTTTTTTGTTTTTTTTCCAAAGAAGAAAACAGTCATTCAGAACTTTTAACCGACTCCTGTATATTTCAGGTGTGTAAACCACCATCCCTGTAGTGTCTGAACATGTTTCAGGAGCCCAGAAAGCATACCAAACCTGCAGAAGTGGTTCGTAATTTCCTAGCCAGCCACAGACTATTTTAAGTGCATGTACTTGTGCTGCATTTTTTTGTTTGCAAGCCAAGACAATTTGAAGATTACTGTAGATTTCAATTGATACTGGTGATTTTCATTCTGTAGTTGAGAGCCATTGTCAGTGTAAAACTGTGGTCTGCTAGTGTAAGACTGCTGCATGCTAGTGAGTTTGTCTGCTGCCCTTATTGCAGAAAATTGTCTAATCCATGAACCAAGCCTTTAAGTTCAGAAAAATACAGAAATGCTGAATTTGGATGCATCTAATGATTTAATGAATCACACAGAATGGCCCAGGTTGGAAGGGACCTCAAGAAGCTCCAACCCCCCTGCCACATGCATGGCCACCAATCTCCCCGTTTAATACCAGACCAGGCTGCCCAGGGCCCCATCCAACCTGGCCTTGAACACCTCCAGGGACGGGGCATCCACAACCTCTCCGGGCAGCCTGTTCCAGCACCTCACCACTCTCTCTGGAAAGAATTTCCCCCTGACATCCAACCTAAATCTTCCCTCCCTCAACTTAAAACCATTTCCCCTTGTCCTGAAGTTATCTACCCTTTCAAAGAGTTGATTCCCCTCCTGTTTGTAGGCTCCCTTTAGGTTCTGAAAGGCTGCAGTGAGGTTACCTCACAGCCTTCTTTTCTGCAGGCTGAACAAGCCAGCTCCCTCAGCCTGTCTTCACAGGAGAGGTGCTCCAGTCCCCTGATCATCTTTGTGGCTCTCCTCTGGACCCTCTGGATTTAATGAATTCCATCTGTAGCTAATGACAGGCTCCCCTGTCTCTAAGATGAGTTTTCTTAGCATTATCTGGCCATAGAATCAACATGATTGTATACTGCTCAGCAGCAAAGGCAATGTTTTTCATTTTGCCATATGTGGTAGTGAATGTAGCTGTATGTATAATGTACATATGTACATATACATATATATGTATGTGTATGTACATATACAACATACATATGTACAGCTGAATGTACAATGAGTATATAATTTCCTCAGAAATTACAGAATTAGAATTTTTTGCTTGAAGATAATGCCCATGCGCTCAAAGCGATTCATCGAGATTAAAAGGAGTTAATCAGTTTTTCTGTGCAAAGATGTGCTTGGGTTTTGAACTCCTTGGTATGTTAGACGGGAAAGAACAGTGAGGTCCTGACTGCTGTGGTCTGTGACAGTGTGAATAAGCTTGGAAGTTGTGTGAGACTGATGAGGAGATTGTTTCTTTTCTTTGTATTTGAGTTCTTAGGTTATTTATGAATTCAATGTAAAATGTGATATATGATTTCAGTACATGCAGGCAGTAAAGCTTTAATATTCCATATAAATAAAACCAAATAAAACCAAACAAAATCAATAATGCAATTCCTCGTAGAACACTACTGTGTATTCTATTTTTATTGGAACAAAATGGAGCACATTTGGGAATAATGAAAATCACTCTTTGCTCGTTTATTAGCTTGTCGTCCGTGAGCTCTTGGTGTTTACAGTGTGACAGCAGTAGGTGGCTGCTCAGATTGGGGGGAAAAAAATTATTCCTGGTTAAATGTTGACAAACATCCAGAGTTGTCTGACGTGGCTCAGTGCATTTTTCCTCTCTAAATATTATGTGGGCAATTGATTTAAAATATTTGAGAAACGCTTCTCTTGAGTACTCTTTAGAAAATTGTTAGGAATTTGTTTGGTTTTGGTTTGGTTTTCTTTGCTAGTGGGTATGGGCATTCATTGCTGGGATGAAAGGAAAGCAATGAGAGCTACTGAAACACTGTGAGAAGCTGTTACTGCAGTTCAGCAGCATTTTCAAATGGTCCAGCTTGTTAATGGCATTTGCGTTTATTGCCATGGTCACTTGAAGAACAGCAAAAAAGTTGATTTGTTTATAGCTCTTCATTCCAGTGTCCTCATTATGTAGAACACGTGGATACCTTGGGAAGCTCAGTGGTGTTTCATATACTTGAACTGCATTTATTTTGTAAGAAGAACATTAAAATTGCTGTGAATTATCTAACTGTTCTTTATTGTGCGCTCCTGTATTCTACGCAGTCGAACCTAAAGGCACAGTAGAGTGAGGACCTTCATGAGGACGGGGGTTGTAACAAATGGCAAGGACTCAATGGGAAACTAAATACTGCATGGACTTAATTTTAACCATGATCTAATAGAAGTTTATAGCACTGACTCGTTGAGTGGTGTTCTGATCTGAAGTATATTCTCATATTTTCAAATTTATACCTTGCTAATTTTCCCTTTGTTTTTTTCTTTATTACTGTAAAAATAGAACAGTAATTAGTGATTCTTTTAATAAAGGAACTACATTAAAGATGTACGAACTTCTAGGAAGTGCTGATTATTAACCTGTTACAATCTGCCTATAGACAATTGCTCAGTAATGCTGAAGTAACTGACCTGAGGGACATTCTCATGTTATTTAAAAAAAAAAAAAAGTCCACACAGCAACGTCACATGTTTTTGGTTTAGATATTCAGCAAAGAAATAGTGTGCTCTGATGCTGTGAGGCTCAATTTTTTTTTTTTTTTTTAAGTTGTGAGAACTAATTTATTGGCATATATCTTAATAAACATATTTTAACAAGTTACATGATAATTCCTTCTCATTTAAGATGACAGGTATTAATATACAGCAAGAGAGCTGTTGGAATAGAAGGGTTGGCCAAGTGGTGACTGATGAAGTCACTTTACACTGAGCCTAGGTGTGAGTGGATTCCGAGTTCCATTCCTGAGGTTTGGAATGGTGCGTTGCCATGCATCTTCTGACACTGTCTGCAGCCGTGATGCCTTGTTCATCATGCCTCACACCGAGACTGTGGGACTTGAGAGAGCATTTGAAATAAGTGTTATTTCATTGTGTTCTTTGGGATTTGGTGCTTTCTTTAGTGCATAGGCTTCTGGCACAGTGTGGTATCACTCCAACTTCCAGATGTGTCAGTAGTGAGGAGGCAATGAGTGTGGCCTTCAGAAATCAGGAGCTGGACATTGCTCTGTGAAATTATTGGTTTGTATGAGACTGGACCATCCCCAAAGCGTTTGTTCTCATTAAAATCAGTTTGATGAAGCATGAGAACTTAATAGCAGGAGCGACTAAGAACATGTAATGCTGAGTCATACATAATTTTTCCCATAGGACTGGCAGTTTGTTGCCTTTTGGAATATGCTGTAAAATAGACATAGGTCGTCTCCCGCTTTGTCCTTCCTCTGCTGTGAAGAAATCTGTTGTGTTGTTTGTTTGTTTCCCGAAGAACATTTTAAAAATTGTAGTTAAAGGCATTTCAGATTTGTTTTGTTTTCATAGTCATCTGCAAAATACTGAAATTTATTAAAAAAAAAAAAAAGTTATCTGTCTAAATGTAATTGTAGGATCAACGAAATAAACTGTTAATTTTTTGTGTAAACAATGTTCTTGGTTTTTAAAGCATGTGAAAGCCAGCCTTGTGTGTGCTCATTCTCAGTGGGATAGATTTAATGGGTCTTTTCCATCTTGAACTTCCTTAAACTGTGTTTAATGTAATTGAAGTTTGGTATTTATTTGAATGACCATCCTGATTTCTAAAACTGGTAATAGGTGGGTGTCTTCAGAAAAGTAATTAAGGGCAGGTCATTGAAGGAGACGTTTGGAACAGTTTTAAGTTTAACGATGAATAGAGGTTATGTAATTGAATAGAGGTAAAATCATTTGTAAAGCTTTTCACAGTTTTTTATATACAAACCACAGTATCAGAAAAACAGCTCTGTAAATGTGAGTAAACACTGATTTGTGTGTAATGCCTGAAATAGGAGACAAAATGCTCACAGTAAGGTATGAGATTTGAAAGGAATTTAGCTGTGTTATTGCATACAAGTGTTGGTAAGACTTATTGCTTTGTGTCAGAAATCAGTTTGCCTACAGCTGTTTGTAGTTTCACTGGCGTGCTTTTATGTCTCCTCTCTCTAGAGTAAAGCATAGCTGTATAATATGATGGAATTGACATGCTAAATGTGTGTGGGGCTTGGAAGAAGTGCAGTCAGAATAAAGATGTCGTTCTTGCCATTGGTTTCTCAGTTTAAAAAAAATCACACAAATTTGAACAGGAGTAAATGTGAAGTCTTGTATGTAAATGGAAAATGGGGTGGGGGAATAAAGAAACATTAAAAACGGGAGAATTGTGGTTTAATTCTACGTCTACGTAAGATGTACAAAAGTAACTTGAATCCTTTTTTTCTGTGAAACCCACAAACTCATTTTTAACAGGAAAGACAGAAATTTCTTGGATTTTTTAAACTAGGAGCTAAGTCTTCTGCCAATGAAATTCGTAACTGGAATAACAGACAATTGGGTTCTTTTTAATATTCGTGAGCTGTAGGAAGGTCGTAGCAATTGGATACATTTCTTCTTCTTTAGAAGAACTTCACCAACTTCTGTAGGACCTGTATTTTGTGGCTGGTTACAGCAGCTGGATACAATGTACAAGCCTCGCATTTCTCTCTTCTCCGACCAGTGGAAATCCAAACTTAAGCTTGTGTATCATTGCCAGCTAAGCAGCAAGCGGAAAGTGTGAAGGAAAGTAAAATAGTATTTACTGTGAAATGTGGAACAGGGCAAGGATATTTTCATTAGATTCTTTTGCTTTTATTTCACTGTAATCATTCATTTATGTGGAAGAGAAAGTAATTTTATTCTCAGTGAATACTTGAAAAAACCAAATGGTTTTCCCTCTTCAGATGACCATATATACTTAAGCAAGTGAAAGATGAAATGTGATAAATTTTGAAAGGTGCAGAAACCATAATTTTTGCAGCTGATTGCTCTTGGTGTCACTGACATTCTAATATGCTTTTTTTTTTT